AACCCGTTTCAGCAACCGCTGCCTCCAGATGATCGGACGGTGCTGGCCCCACCTGCGGGCACTGGGCATTGGAGGGGCAGGCTGTGGTGTCCAGGGACTGGCCTCCTTAGGTAGGCAGCTCTCCTCTGGTGGGACAAGGAGAAGGGGACCTTGCTGGAGGCAGGGTGTACCCCTAGGAGATGCCCTACAGGGGAATCTCGACGGAGAAGCCCAGCGCAAGGACCAGGGGTGCACCCTGCCCCTCCTTGCTGCCACCCATCCCTCCAACCACCCCGTTCCCATTGGTTGTCTTCATCCCTTCTCCATGGGGTCCTGATGGTGGATGCTCTGTCCTTCCAGCCCGAAACTGCATGAGGCTTCAGGTCCTGGAGCTGGACCATGTGGCCGAGATCAACCAGGAGGTTGCTGCAGAGATGTGTCGAGAGGGGCTGAAGGGGCTGGAGATGCTGGTGCTGACCTCCACGCCTGTCACCCCCAAAGCCCTGCTGCACTTCAACAGTGAGTAGCCATGGCAGGAGTGCACCATCCACTGACCAAAAGGCCACCAGCTATTGAGGTCCATCAAGCAGCCCCTGCCTCCCAGCCCCACCTACAGGAACCCACCAACACTAGAAGGGGCTGGGAGCTCCATGGTGGAAGGTTTCAAAGATGGGGTCTAACCAACAGCCCCCTGCTAAGGAGGGAAGAGCTGATCTTGCCTTGGGCCACAGGGAGGATGGAGACACCTCCTCCATGCTCTCCTCAGTGTGATGGAGGCCTCAGTGTCTGTGGCACACCTGGGGTTCCCCCTGGTGTCTCTGAGCTGAGAGTCACCCTGTTCACTGAAGCTCTTTGTCAGGTTGGGAGCTTCAGGGGGAAAGAGGTCCACAGCCAGAAGGACAGCCTGTTGGAGGTGCATTTCCTGCTGGTCATGGCACACGTGACAGTGGTTGGACTTGCTGGGAACCCATCCCTCTGGGTGGAAGAGTAAGGGTTTCCCAAGGAATCAGTGAAACTGCTGATTTGGGATAGGACAATCGGGGACCATCTTGCAGACCATCCTCCCTACAGAGGTCTTGGTCACCAAGACTGGGTCTCCTTCACCTTCAGAGTGAGGTTTCCCCAGATGCAAAAGGCCTTGAGGAGGACTCTGTGGGTTTTAGGGTCCATCCTGGCTGTGGAGAGGATGTCCCCCCACCAGGTGTTTCTGCCCTCAGGTGTGTGCCGGAACCTGAAGTCCATCGTGGTGCAGGTGGGCATTGTGGACTACTTCAAGGAACCTCACAGCCCTGAAGCCAAGAAGATGTTTGAAGAAATGGTGAACAAACTCCAGGTAAGGGATGCCATACCCAGGTCACCCGTGTGTCCCCAGTCTCATGTCGGACCCCTGAGGACAAATTCTTGCCCACCACTGTTCCCTGGGGACACAAATGGGCTGTTGCCTCCTCCTTGGGACTACCTGCTTGGTGAACACCATCGAGTGGTTGAAAATCCACTCATGAAAGCAGAAATGGGGTTAATTTTAGCTGGGCTGAGTTGCAGACCTTGCTTAGCTTGTGGTGCTCAGCAGGGCCTGGGCTGTCCCTGAGCTCTTCAGGGTCTCCAGGGAAGACACCTCCATCTGTGTCCAAGGGGAAAAATAGGTCAATAGGTGCCTCCATCTCATGCCATCCTCTGGTTGGCTTCATCCTGCAGCAGGTTGGGCTCCCATGGGGGTGTCAGGTGAACCTCCCATGAGGTGCAAAGCAGGACTTGGGGATGGAGGCCCACCAGCACCATTGGGTGGGGTCACACAGCTCATGCAGTTCCTGCTCCACCACCAAAGACTTCAAAGATCATCAAGACCAACTGCTAACCCAGCACTGCCAAAGCCACCACTGCCCCATGTCCCTCAGCCCCACATCTACATAGGTTTGAAATCCCTCCAGGGATGGGGACTCCACTGCCCTGGGCAGCCTGGGCCAGGGCCTGACAGCCCTGTTGATGTTGGTTTCATCTCTCCCAAACTACTGCTGTCCTCAGGAAATGGTGGTTTTAACCAAACAGAAACCAAACCCAGAGTTAGCTTCAGGGCATGGGATTAAGAAGAGACCATGAGCCAGTCCTGCAAGAAAGCCAGATCCCCTTGGGATGCAATGGTGGGGATGGGATCAGGGTGGGTCCCTTCCCATGGTGGGGATGGGATCAGAGTGGGTCCCTTCCCATGGTGGGGATGGGATCAGAGTGGGTCCCTTCCCATGGTGGAGATGGGATCAGGATGGGTCCCTTCCCATGGTGGGGATGGGACCAGGATGGGCCCTTTCCCATGGTAGGGATGGGACCAGGATGGGCCCTTCCCATGGTGGGGATGGGACCAGGATGAGCCCTTTGCCATGGTGAGGACTGAAGATGTCCTCTCTCTTCCCTGTCCAACCTGTGGGGCAGCCAAGCCTGCCAGGTCCTGCACCAACCACCCACCCTCTCTCCTCCTCTTCCAGGCCCTGAGGAAAAGACCTGGCTTCTCCAAGATTTTACACATCAAAGTGGAAGGAGGCTGTTAGACCTTCAGGGAACCACAAAGCACATTCCCTCCTCTGCCCAGCAGAGCTGGAGGCCCCGTGGAACCAAACCCACCACGTTGCAGGACCTGGGGCACGGAGATGCTGGCCCATGCACAAAGAGACCCCCAGACTCTTGCAGCCCCTCGTGCCTGGCAGTGGGAGCTCATCCCCAGGGCCAGCTCACGGGGGAGAAGGTGCTACTCAAGGACATTTCTTGGCTGCCTGAAGAGACGCGGCCCACCCCTTAAGGAGAGGGGATGGCTCTGCACCAGGGCTGCTCGTTGCCAAGGATCCTTGTTTGGGGAATGTCTTTTTCCTTCCAACTCTCCTCCTGGGGGTGGTTTTTTTTCAGCCCTTCGGTGGGGTGGGAGGTGATGATGGGTCAGCCTGTCCCTGTGGGCTCTTTGCTGGGCATCACTGACCATCTCTGTCCTCTCTGTGGGCTGGTGGAGGTGGGGTGGGAAGAGGCAGTTCCTCCAGAGGAGACCCAGCATTCCAGCAGCATTTCTGCTGGTTTTCCTTCCATTTGTCTGACAGAAGAGCTCCCAAGCCTGGGTAAATCCTGCCCAGGAACCAGCACCACAACAGCACAAGCCCAGGGTGGCACAGCTGCATCTTTGGGGGCTGTAGGAGCCAGAGGACACCAAGAGAGATGGTTGCTCTTCCAGAGGTTTCCAGCCTCACCTGCTCTCCACCCAAACCTTCCTGCCAAGGCAATAAAACCATCTCTGAAATCCTCACCCACCAGGAAACATGGGTCGTGCTCCTGTCCCCACCAACAGCCACCACCTGTTCAGCCTTCCTCCAGGTAGAGCTGGAGAGAGAGGGACTGGCCTGGGACACCCACATTGGCCATCTCATCACCTTCCTGAGCAGCCCGAAGGAGAAATCCTGCCCAAATTGTCCTGAAATCCAAAGCTGCTGGTGAAAGCACCAACCCAACTGCCCTGGTAGATCCCTTGTCTATGGCCACAACTGGTCTTTTAATTCCTCTGTTTGCCTCTGGCTGTCTTCTGCCCACCAGGACACCAACACCCTCCATCTGCCCTTATTCTTTCCAAAGGAAAAGGCTTCTGGAAGACATCCAGCAAGGTCAGGCTTCTCCATTGTCCACCCTGGGGAGAAGGTACCAGGAGGTGCCAAGGGGGAAACCTGTCACAGCACTGCCAGCAGCAGGGACACATCAGCCTTAACCACAGCCCCTTGCCACCCTGAGGTCCAGCCAGGACTGCTTGGATCCAACTCACTGAGCTTCTTCTCTGGACCATCATTGGAGGTTTTGGTGCCTGTTGGCCAATGTGGCTGTGAGGAGGGTATCTCCAAGGGTATCTCCCTTTCCTCCAGCCCTCCTGGGGTGATGGGCTGCCATGGAGCGTCCCCCCAGGAGGGAGGAGGTTGCAGACCCATCCTGGTACCACCTTCCTCATGCAGCACTGCAGGCCTCAGCCAGGGGCTCCCAGGATGCCAACAGCCCACGGGGACCTCAATAGAGAAAATGATCAGTTCCCAGTTGCTGAAGCTGCTGGTGGGCTGGAGGCAGCTCCTGGGTCTCCAACCCCAGAAGGAATCTCGGGAGATCATTTCATCCACCTCTCATCCCACCCACGCTGTCTCCTCCAAAGCAGGGCAGGGTATTTTTTGGCCATAACCCCTCACTGGAAGCACCTCCATCCCCCCACCAACTGCAGCTTTCCAGAAGAAGGCTGCTCCCTGGATGCACAAAACGTGGGAGCCCAAAGAAACACCTGCAAGGAACCACCACCACGTCCCACCACGCCCTCATGGGCAGCACTGGATGAGCTCCCCACCATGGGTTCATCTCCATCCCAGGGAGGCTGGGACACGCATCATCCAAGGGCAAGAGGAGCAAGGGATGCCCTGACCAGCAAAAAAACCCCCCACCCAGCCAAGCTAAAACCCCCTGGAGACCTTCCCACCAAGGGTGGTCCCCGTGGAGACGTCGCCATTGGCAACAGCTCAGAGACTGGAGAAATCCCCTTTCAAAGAATTTAAAAAAATAAATAAACAAAGTAAGTATTTATTTCTATAAAGAGAAGAAGAAGAAGAAGATTTTAAAGGAAAATTATATACTCAGCATGTTCATAGACTCTACGCTTAAAGACTTTCGTGTTGGAGGGTCGTGTCTGAAGACTGAAGGTGGCTGCTCCAGGTTTGCTGCTCACCCCACACCCAGCCCCTCACCTCGGTCCTCCAGGAGGAGGGAGTGATGGAAAGCAGGGGGAGATGTTGAGGACTCTTGAAGGAACTTGCTGTGTGAGGCTGGAGGGGCTGCTGGTGCCGGGGCTGCTGGTGGTTGCATCTGCTGGTGGTGGGGTGGGTGGGTGGGGGGACATCCCTGTCTCCCTGATGCCACAGGGGTTTTGTCAGTCACAGCAGGACAACCCCACCCACATTTGGTGCTTTGGTGCCTCATTGAGACCAAACCACCCAGCTCCCTTGGGGGCATTCCCAAAAAAGTCCAACTGGTGGCCTCGTTTTTGACGATAATCCCACCGTGACGCGAGACCTCGAGAAGGCTCCAGGAGGTGGGAAACAGGGTTGTTTTCCCCATTCTGCATGATTCCTGGGGCTTGGATGGGTCTCTTCCTCCTGGGCTGGGGATGAAGGTGGCTGGCACAGGCCGAGTGTTAATGAGCCCTGTGGTGGCTTCTAATTACCCAGGTTGTTAATAGCAACGAGCTCATTAACAGCTCCGCGTTTCTCCCGCCCCGACATGTTACGTTGATGGGTTCCCTGCTGCTTTCCCTCCCCATCCCACCAACACGTGGCCTCCTTGGCTCTCCCACAAGCCTCCCTTGCCCACCCTAATCCCATCAGGATGCTGGGATGAGGCTGCCCGTGACTCATGGGGTTTCAACCCCATTTCCTCTGGAAACGATGGAGACTCCCAGAAATACCAAAATCCCCTGGGAAAGCCTCGAAATCAAGGGAAGGGGAGAACTGCAGCGTGAGCTCAACCCCATACTAGACCCTAGAGAAGCCCCGGGGTGGGGGGGGCTCTGCGATGACAATCCCTGGCAAAAGCCAGGGCACAGCTGCCCCAGCTGGGGTGAGCAGCATTCCCTCAAGGTCATGGTGGTGGCCAGACCTGGCAGGGGCTGGATGGACAGTGCTGCTGGTTCCTGCCAGACCTGGTTCCCGTGGGACCAGTTTTGAGGGGGGATTTAGTCCTTTTTTTTTAGTGAGTTTGCCCAAATTTTCCCCACAGCCAACGCTCGTGACATTCCCCTTTGCTTGAATCTGGGTGTCGGGAAGGGATCTCAAGAGGAACACCACCAGCAAAGCCAGCTTGGAGGGGGCAAATTTATCCCAAATCCATGGTTTTTTTCTGCCTCGTATGTTGGATTTTGCTCGTCGTCCATTGCTCCGACCCCCAGGAGCTGGGGATGCTCCTGGAACCAACTGCCTCCTCCTGCCCTCATCCCTGTGCTCCCAGCCTGGGAGGTCTCCAGGGAAGGGGGAACCCCCAGGTTGGCTCCAGCCAAAGAGGGTTTTTAAAATCTTTTTATCCAGCAAAGGTTAAAAAAAAATAAATGACCCCACTTCTGGCCGTGGGTCACGGTCCCAACTGGCACCCCAGGCACAGCCATGGGTGGATCTTGGACACCTTGTTTGGATCCACCAACCTGGGCTGGTGGGAGGCGTCCCTGCCCATGCAGTGGGGTTGGAAGTAGATGATCCTGAAGGTCCCTTCCAACCCAAACCAGTCTGGGATTCTGTGATTCCAAAAGGCTCCAGATTTGGACCAAAATGCCCCCATGAGAACTGTTGAGGAAGGATCTGGGAGTGGTTGAGCATCTTCTCCGGGCTCTTCAAGGAGGTGGCACGTGGCTTCAGCCCCTCATTTTGGGGGGAAAACCTGCAGGTTGGGGTGGAGGGAAAGCATTTGGGAATTGGTGCCAAATGATAAAATGCTTTAAAAAAAAAACAAAAAAAAAAACCACAAAACAGGGTGATTTTAGCAACCAGAGATGGTTTGTCAGGACCGAAGCATCACAGGTGGGGGTTGTTGCTGCCAAGTGATGCACGACCTTCCCCACGGGTGGGAGGGAAAATAATCCCTGCAGCAGGAAATTGGTCCCTCCTGCCCTGAGGAAAAGCTGCTGCCACCTCCTTCCCTGGAGAGCAGCAGCAAGGAGAGGAGGGAAAACTGCCCAGAAGCAGGAAAACTGGGATTTATTCTGAGCCAGCCTCGGGATTGAGCCCCATGGAAAGGGGGGGGACAAGACGAGGCAGGCTGGGGCCGGGGACAAGAGGGTGCAATGGGGTGGGAGGGTGGGATTGGATCTGGGAAGCAAAGGGTGGGATGGATCTGGGAAGCAAGCCTGGTCCCACACACTTGCTGAGAGATAATCAGAGGACACGCTTCCCACGGGGAGGGAAAGGGGGGAAAAAAACCCACCATGATATCCATGTCAATCTCTCTCGACAGGAATTACAATCATTCCCCTACAGCAACTTCCCCATTCTCAGCCCCTGAGGGGACCCCCCCTGGGTGCAGTGACCTCCCCCCCTCCCCAAAAGGCAGCGACTCAGCCTCCTCTTCAGTTATTTTTTTAAAATCTCGATGAATTTAGGTCTATTTTAGTCTTTCTGCAGCGATGTGCCAGTGTCTGAAGAACCAAACCTCCCTTTTTTCCCCCCACCCCCACGGGTCCCTCGATGCTCAAGCAGGTCCTGGATGCTGAACCAGGAGTGTTGGGGGTGCAGATGAGATGGGGAGGGGGTGAGGGAGAGGACCTGGGTGGGGGGGTTGAGGGGCAGGGAGATGGGAGAGGTGGTGGCTGCTGCCCGTGGGAGACCGTGTTTTTAGCACTTTGGTTGGTACCATCACCTGTAGACGCACTTTGATGTTGTTGCTTTGAAACTTTGCCCAGTGTAAACCATGTGTATTTCAAGAGTTACAAAGAAACAAACAAACCCAGAAAAAAGGGAAAAAAAAAAAAAAAAAAAGGTGTGCAAAGAGCTATTTTATGATTCAGTGTTAAATAAAAGACTCTTTGAGATCGAGGTGGGGTTTATCAGTCTCCTGGGGTTTACATCAAACCCAGTGCTGGCTCCAGCACCAGTGAGACCAGTTGCTTCTTTGAGGTTTAATGGAAGCATCCCTGCTCCTCCTTCCCTCTCCCTGCAGGCACAGGGCATTTGGGACCCATGTCCATTGCTCCATGGGACACAGGGACAAGGTGAGGGGCAGCAGCCTCCCCCAGGTCTCAGTTGCCCAGGAGGATTTTTGTGCCAATTCTTGCTGGCAAAAAAAAAAATGTTAAAATTCATTTCTGAACAGTCCTTGAATGAAAGGGGAAAGAGGGGGTTAAATATTTGGTGAGGGCAGCCCAGGTGGCTGGAGAATTCCTGGTTCCCAAATTGTGACCCCACAGAGTTTGGGGATCAGCTTTGCAGGCTGGAGTACCACAGTGAAGGGGAAACTGGGGTGTGGGGTAATGTGACTCTGTTGCCATCAGACAGGCAGGAGCAGGAAGACATTCCCAGCTCCCAGCCACAGGAGAGGAGGACACACCTCTAGCCCCCAGAATCTGCCACCTGCAACGGGCAACTCACCAGCTGCCTGCACAGCAGGATCAGGATCAGTTCCCACTTTCAACCCATCCATATTCCCCAAAAACATTTTCATGCCAGAGAGACCCCAAGTGCCAGGATCCATCCCTGAACCCCCCCCACAGCCCCATACATTCCCCCTCAATGGGCCCTTGCTAGGGTTGGAGGTGTCAAAACACAGAGACTGGCCTGAACCACCTCCTGTGAAGTAAGAGGATGAAAATATGGAGCAACATCAAGGAGAAATGTCACTGAGCAATGTCAGAGCTCCAGAAGTGACAATAGGTAATGTGTCCTGGGAGCACAGGGAGCTGGGTCCTGCTTCCTAGTTAATGAAGATGCTCAGAGGGTTGAAGCAGCTCTGCTCTGGAGACAGGCTGGGGGAGTTGGGGTGTTCAGCCTGGAGAAGAGAAGGCTCCAGGGAGACCTGAGAGCACCTTCCAGTGCCTGAAGGGGCTCCAGGAAAGCTGGGGAAGGGCCTGGGACAAGGGCAGGGAGGGATGGGATGTGGGGGAATAATGGTTTAAACTGAAAGAGGGGAGACTGAGGTGAAACATGAGGAGGAAATTCTTTGCTGTGAGGGTGGTGAGACCCTGGCCCAGGTTGCCCAGAGAAGCTGTGGCTGCCCCATCCCTGGCAGTGTTGAAGGGCAGGTTGGATGGGGCTTGGAGCAGCCTGGGCTGGTGGGAGGTGTCCCTGCCCATGCAGGGGGGTCTGAAAGGGATGATCTTGAAGGTCCCTCCAACCCAAACCAGTCTGTGACTCTGTGATTCCCAGCATAGCACCTGCTTTTTTAAACAGGGCAAAGAAAAACAAACACAAAAGGTCAATTTTTGAAGCCAAACAAGCAGCTCCCATACCCCAGAAGCAGCAGAGAACAAACCCCACGTGCCACTGAAACACCATCCTGTCTTTATTGTGTTTGAGCCTGGGTTGAAAACCCCCAGCAGAAAGACAAAAAAAAAGGAAAAAAAGAAAAAAAAAAAAAGAGTATAAATACCAAGAAAGGCCAGGCTGGCTGCACTCCCTGCCAGTGTTGAAGAGGGCTCTGCTCCGTGCTGTTCCCACGTGGAAAGGTGAGGTGAGCCTCAGGGGATCAGTGCTGTGTAGGACATGTTGGGGCAGGGCAGCTCCCAGGAGGCTGCTGCCCAGGCCAAGACTTGACTCTTCATCACACAAGGCCCATGGTTGCCCGTGAGCCCCGGCAACCACCGCCCGGCCAACGGCTCGTTAACAAAGCATCAACTCTTATTTCAGTCGGCAGAGCACCCGAGGCCCACCCTGCTGGGGATCAGTGGTTGTGGGGTCGGGGTCGGCCCCGTCCCCGGGCACTGGGAGCAGCATCCACGGTGGAGCGGGGGTTCTTGATGGTCTCGTCCACAGAGACGATGAGGCAGGCGGCCTCGGAGGCGGCGGTGAGCGCGTTGCTGCGCACCACGGCCGGTTCCCACACGCACGCCTCGAAGTTGTCGGCGATGTCCTCGTTGTTGACGTCCACGCCGTACCACATGCCACCCTGGGAGAGAGGGGGGGGGAAAAAGGGTCTGGGGATTGGGTTGGATAGGATTTGGGGAATCGCCCTCTGGAAGAGATGGGTTTGGTTTTTTAAAGGTGAGCAACAGGAGAATGTGGCTGTTGGGAGAGTTTGGAGGGAGAGCGTGGAGATGATGGGAGAGCTGGAGCAGCTCTGCTCTGGAGATAGGCTGGGAGAGTTGGGGTGTTTGGCCCGGGGAGGAGAGAAGGCTCCAGGGAGACCTTAGAGCACCTTCCAGTGCCTGAAGGGGCTCCAGGAAAGCTGGGGAGGAACTTGGGACAAGGGCAGGGAGTGACAGGATGAGGGGAATGGGTTAAAACTGGAAGAGGGGGGATTCAGATTGGACATTAAGAGGAAATTCTTTGCTGTGAGGGTGGTGAGACCCTGGCCCAGGTTGCCCAGAGAAGCTGTGGCTGCCCCATCCCTGGCAGTGTTGAAGGGCAGGTTGGATGGGGCTTGGAGCAACCTGGGCTGGTGGGAGGTGTTCCTGCCCATGCAGGAGGGCTGGAACTGGATGAGCTTTAAGGTCTCTTCCAACTCAAACCAGTTTGGGATTCTATGACTTTGGGGCCAGTGCACTGGGAGTTGGACACATGCAAACACTTGGGGGGGGTGGTCACAAACTAGGCCTTGCTCTACAAGAGTATTTGAGAGGGAAAAGCTGCAGAAGCTGTTCAGGACTGACCTCCACTCCACTGCTGTCTCACTTCTCCACCCACAGCTCTGGTTTTTGCAGCCCAAGACTCAGCTGCTCATTTTGGGACATTCTATCCGTAACCTCATAATTCACCAGCAGGATGGAAGGTGGGGCAGTGAGCCCCAGAGTGGCAGTGGCTTCTGAGAGAAGCCAAGGGGCCAAACCAACTGCCTGAATTAGGACTCCCTGTGCACACCCACCCACCACGGGACAGGAAGTGATCCCACACAATCCAGACCTTCAGTCTGCAGCTCCTCTGGAAAACACGCAGCTCAGCCAACCTCTACACACTAATTACATCGATTTAGAAGCCTCCTTCCTGACAAATGATGCATTTTTAAAAAGCAAATCCAAACCCCCAGCTCTAAAAATCACCCCACGGCTGTGATCAAAGGGAAAACAGATCAGCTCCGTTTATAGGAACCCGCACCAAGCCCGCACTTGGGTCTGGAAACAAAGCACTGCATTTCATCCAAGAGGACAGAAGCCCAACATGGGCTGGGCTTGAGTTGCACCTGATCCCTCAGGATCAAGGAAAAAAGAAGAGAAAAGAAGAGCTGCTCATACCAGTTGTCCCTCAGAGCCCCCGGTTCCCAGCTGGGCACCCACCTGCGCGTGCTTGGCTCGGAGCTTGTTCAGGATGTTGGTGGCATCAAAGCCAGCGTTGTCGCAGAGCTGGCGGGGAATGATCTCCAGGGCTTTAGCATAAGCACCTATCAGCAGCTGCTGCTTGCCTGGAATGGTCCTGGAATAGTCCCGGAGGTACTTGGAAAGCTCCATCTCTATCGCGCCACCGCCGGCAACCACCGAGTCGTTCTGAAAGAGAAGGGAAAAGTCTCAAGGCTCCTGCCAGGGAAATCCTTCCTGCTAGGGCTGCATGTCAGGGAGATGCAGACACACCAGGCCCTGGAGAATCTACAGCCCAGGCTGCTGCTGCTCCTGGGAGCTCCAGAAACAGGTCAAGAATCTCCTGTGGCAGCAACCAGCAGCTCTGCCCAGCAGGGCACAGGATGAAGGGGTGGTTTGGGGACACGGTGCCAGGGGAGGGACAGCAGAACACAGACCCCTGGTGCTGGGCAAGTTTCCCTCACTGCTGCAAAGCATTCCAAATTCAGGATACTTGCAGCAACATTTCGCAGCCAAGTTCTGCTATTTCCCCCCCCCCCCCCCTTCTTATTTGTCTCAATAGGGAGATCAGGATGTTCTTTCTAAAGGAAAACAAGTCCTAAAAAATCCTGAGATGCCTCTTCCCTGCCCCTCAGGGCAGGCAGCCTCCAGGCTGCTTTAACCAGCCAGCATCACGTTAACACCTCGCTGCACATAACCCAGAAACACCCACAGTTGGGCAGCATCTATCACACAGGACCAGCAATTCCACAAGCTGAGCTCACATGCACACATCCCTCAGATTTCTCTCTTGGTGCTCCCAGCTTGCTTCACAGCCTGGGGACAGTTAACCCCTCAGGCTGGTCTGCAAGAGAGGGAACAAGTGGCTTTAAGAGGCACTGACATTCACGTGAGAACTACCTAGTGAAGATCCACCTGTTGCACCCAGATGACTGTGTTCCCTTTGGCATATGGGTGTTTACAGACCACACCAAAGCCAGCAAGCACAAGCTGCAGCCATACTGGAGAGGAGGCAAAAGCCAGGCCTGAAAAGCAGCTGGAAACACTGCAGTGCCAAGGCTGCTCTGGCCATGGGACAGCACTTGGTTCATCAGCCAGCTGCTGCCTGTCTGCACGCTCCACTCCACCACCAGCAGCTCCCAAGAGACCTCAGCCAAATGCTGGTGTGTGAAAAGGTTTCTAGAAGGAGTTTCAGCCATGCCAGCTCATATCAGCTAGCCTGAGGCCAGCCCAGCAGGGAGCTGTCTCTGCTGGTGCTCACCTTGATTGCTCTCCTGACGATCATGATGGCATCGTGCAGGGAACGCTCCGTCTCCTCCATGAACTGCTCGGCGCCCCCACGCAGGATGATGGTGCAGGTCTTGGCCTTGGGGCAGCCCGTGAAGAAGTTGTACCTGCCAAGGGCAAGAAAGGTGAAGGGGATGGAGAAGCTCAACAGGCTTCACAGGGATAATAAGGAAATGGAGCAGCCATTTCCAAGCCCAATGCGCAGCTGATAAGCAGTGTCCCCATCAGACCTGGAGCTCAGAAGGAGCAGAGCCAGACAAGACATCAGTGAAATTCCAGCTGATCAAGGACAACCTGCTCTCATTCCTGTTGCCAGGGCTTTGTGCTAAACCAGAGCTCTCATTTTCCTTTAGCAGGAAGACAGCAGAGGTTAGCAGGCAGCCCCAAAGAGGATTCCTCCTCCAGAATCCCCCTGCATGGTCCCCAGCTCCAACTGCACTGACAGGGAAGTGGCACCGTGGGACATCAGATTAGTGCCACCATCAACCCCCAAGAGGACCTGCTTTTAAGTTACAAATGAAATACCACCCCCATGCTTTCTGCATGGCACTGGGCAACAAACTTCTATTTTTAAAGGCATATAAAAGAGGTAAGATGGAGATGAAAACTTACTCCTGCCCCCTCCCTCCTCAGCCTCATGAAAAGCAGTGATAACACACAGGTGTTTTCACACCTTGAGAGATGCTCAACCCACGAACGCTCAGACCTTCACTTCCCAAACCAACATTCATATCCATGGGATACTACATGCCCAGAGCTGGTGTCTTTACCTCTCCCCTCCAATCTGAGTCTCCTCAAAGAGCTCACAGCGGCCCAGAACATCATCAGACAGGGCGTTGACACTGGTCTGAATGGAGCCACCACAGGCCTGCAGGGAA